GAACCCCAGATGATGCGACCTCGGCAGGAGACAATACACGTCCGACACTGACACTCCAAGTCCTATAGACCATGTCTTGCTTTGCTGGGTGATGTTTTAGTCGTAGTTACTTCTAATCTCTCACCTATGGGAGAGAAGCTGTGGCATACCACCGCTTAATGCAACCGAAGGCTCACGAACTAGACTTCTATGCGGATTCCTGTCATAAAGTGAAGCTGGAGTAGTTTCCCTAAACTTGTTCTAGACAGGGGTGTACTTACTTTGTACTTGTTATGACTGTGATCATGCCTGATCTAGCCGGCCTCAATGATGTCATGGACGGCACCCCTCCACGCGTGACGATCGGCGGCAGCGGATCTAGAAAGTGACAGAAATGTGAGTAAAGCCGACCCACCTGATTTCGGTGATGTCTGGGATAGTACGTCTCAACTGTTATTGGCAGTTTATATGAAGATTTTTAGTCGTTTTCCTTTGGAGACTAATGGCGAAAGTTCAAGCACCTCTACTATTTTTATGGCCCATGTGGATATGGCCCATCGGATGGAGAAAAGCGACACTTTACGCACGGGCGAACATCGAGCGTACTTAACACATCTTAGTTGTCTTTCTTGGATTTCCTGATATGTCCACATGATTTTAAGGGACACGTATCGTGTCATTTAGGATGGAATATTTCACTTTGAATGTTGCTTTTAGGTAATAATTATTGAAAACCTCCATGGTTCGTCCGTTTTTCATGCGCCTAGCCTTACGTTCGTAATCACAAGGAATGACCGGTACAACGTCTTAGTGACCGTTGGTATATCGTCGAAAATTCATGGCCATATTCGTGGGCTTGTAAATATTCCGCAAGCAACATCAATTAGGAAATAAAGATCGTACTCAACCTGTCCTTTGGACAGCAATTTTGCCCCATGCTATTTCAAATACTCCATTTCTTTAAAGGTTTTAGGTGTTTTATCCCCGGTCTGAGCTGCAGTCTGCAAACCCTAGTATATGCTAAGCTGATACATTATTCGATTGATTTGGCCACAGTTTTCACTCACTACATTATATGAATAATTTGACTTAACGGTAGCAAGGCTATGTTTGTGTCCTTTTGCAAATTCCATAACATTAAAATGCATAACGTCAGCCCGAAAATTGAATCCATTATTGGCATTTTTGTGGACAGGAATTCGTTCAGTATTTAACCTCTAGTATGCTCTTATCATTGCGATGGTATTTTACCCTCATATCTTGTATTGCATACACGCACTGTCTTCTTCCCTCTAGTCGCTTTCAACTTTATATCCTGCGTATGCCACAGACACGGCGTTGCGCCATATCGAGTTTTCTGTAAACTGCACATCACTCAGATAACTCAATGTGCCGGGTATATATTAATGGAATGAATGTGAAAGTCGCATCCCACGTGTTTGAAAGTTCACGAAAATAAACAGACGTTTCCAATGCTCGGACAGCCTTCTCCTTCACCTATACTAAGTTATCTTATTGATTAGCGGTTGTACTATTTTTTGGTCCTTTATTCTTTTGATTTTCTGCAATACACGTTCCTTTTCTTCCCACAGATTAACTACACTTACTTTCCACCACACCTAAATGTATTCACCGGAACCGATTGAGGCTGAGGAGGTCCTGGGGGCTTACGATGGATGCAAGCTCATCCTAAACAACGCCCTGCCAGTTGATTGTCGACTAAAGGTTCGCCCTGAAGGTTTCCTAATACCACACCCCTTCAGATTACCAATTTTCGGCTTCATCTATTTGTTAAGTCTACTGTGCCAAACTCTATCAACCGCGGTGCGTGGAGCTTCAAGTGTATTCCACTATGCACGATCCAGTCTCTGGAGAAGAAGCTTAGTTACAAGGGTTTAAAGGCTATGGGTATAATAATAGTATGTAAAGATGTGCGTATCGTCAAGCTAATTCTATCAGTAAGTGTCACTTGCTACATAATAAGGTGAACCTAATAGGACAGTGCAAAAGGAATTGATGCCTTCCGCCAACTGAACGACCTCATCTTCCCAGCTTTTCGCAGTCGGGAACTCTTTGCATATGCCTTTGGACGAAAGTGTTTGGAGGAGAATCGATTCCTTGCTGACGGTTGGGATGTGTACGATCCAACGTCTGAGTATCACCGTCAGAATATTGTCAACAATGGCTGGCGCATTTCAGCAGTAAGTCACTCTTGTCTAACTTTGTTATTTTACCAAACCTGGCTATTTTGGATTGTACCCTGTGTGCAGTGATCTATAGGTCTAGGTAGTAGCAGTGTGTGCCCCCTCCGTTTTTAGATTCCGTAGATTAATTCCGTTTTTGCTTATCATCAGACAGCTAGGCGCTCTGGACTGCTACTCCTGTATGTCTGTCGCGTGGTTTTGGATGATAATAATGAAGGACCTTATCGCCGTACACTTGAAGCAGAAAGCATGACTGCCTGACTGCCTCATCGCGTTTCTAGGCCGTTTAACTTACGTTTTCGTAAGAAAACACTGGAGGACCACTGGGCATACTAGTTCATCGGGCAAACGGACAGCTTGTCTCGGACCATCACGGTCTTATCGTCTATTACGTCATAGATAACTGAGCAAATTGCGGTGACACATTCATACTTGGTTACTCGCAAGCTGAGACGCGTCACGGAACCTCTTCAGTTTGTTGCGTTACTTATAGGCCAAATTTTGCCAAATAGAAGGTCTGGTGGTTACGAGTCTGCCTCTTTTAGTTCCTTCTAACGTTGATTGGTAGAGGGTAGACAACAGCGGGAACTTTTTGTCTGTTAGCACCTGTGCCATCGGTATTTGCATGCTGCCGATTACCTGTTGTCAGCTTCTAAATATTCCGCAGTGACCGATGCATTTCGGCTTAAATATTCATACAAAATGTTGAAGCTCGTCCAAAAAACTTTGTTCAGTAGTATTTATTTCAATTTATTGCATCAGTTTCCGAAAAAAATTGGGAAGGCCAGCCCCCCTGCTCTTCTCAAATGTTCAAAAACAAAAACAGTGAAATTCGAAAGCCTTAGTCTTCGTACTTTAAATCAGTTAAAGTTTTATTATGTAGCCTCATCTCCTTTGTTACATTGAATCAGGTAAAAGTATGACAAAACTGCATTTCGATGGTACTATAAAGTTTATTTGCAATCCTAAACCCAATGTATGTGATTAATATAAAGCTGTCCTGAAATGACTACAGAAACAATGCAATTCTGCTAGCTCCAAGCTCTAATGACCTACATTCCGTGGTTTCTCAGGTGAATGCAGTTGTTAGATCGGTTGTTTTATCCCTAAAATAGTTTTTTTCAGACCACATCCCTAAACAGTAGAAGACGCCCTTCAGATTAATTTGAAGAAGTTGGCAATTTCAAATACCTTAGTGTTAGACTGCTGCTAGGCCGTGATTGTATTCGTATTAATACAATTATCAGGTCTGTTTGGGGCCCAGCGTAACTCAAAGTGCACGCCGCCCTAACGAGGCGTTCCCACGTCTGACGCTGCGCCCAGCTCCTGCCAAGCGGTAGACTAACATGCCAACTGTCATGACTCACCCAGCCAATGAAGTCATGCCTTTCTCGTGGCCACCATCTCTTTGGTCCAACCTTGTACATACGCGTTCGCTTGCTTTAAATTATGCTTTACTAGGTTTCTCGAGGACTGCTACCTTAGTTCACTTCTTGTCGTGTTCTTCTTTGGGGGCTCATACAAGGTGTAACGTAGACGGCAAAAAACACCGCCTTGACCATCGTCACAACAAGGTCGAATCCCTGGTTGAAGGTAAAAAAAAAACAAGTCATTAGAGTGAGGCTTTTATTGAGCACAGAAACTGAAATTGCTGTCTCAGACAGCTGACGAAGCCAGGGCTTGTGTTGACTGCGTCTGAGGGTGTGTGTGAGAGAGAGAGACAGCGATGGCAGTTGCTTTTATGCGACTTGATTTGCACGATTGGTGTGTTGTATTTCCCAAGGGGTTGTCGTGTATAATGGCCTATGCTGCGTTGGCTGAGGGATGGCGTGTTCAAGTGGCCCTGAGGCAGTCGCGGTTATCTGAGCGCACGTGTGTGCGCACGTGGAAGTCGGTCAAGGATCAGAAACAACTGCCTGCGAAGACACATGACGTTAAGGGAGCAGGCAATAAACAAGTAAATCGGACAGCTGCGTCCGTCAACCATCGGTGTACTTCCTGCGCAAGTCATCACCCCCTGCACCTAACCTGCAGTAGTGTAAATAGTGGACGTTGTCGAAAGCGACGGCCAAACTATCGGATCATCTATGTTTTCTTTGAGCCCTTATTACGTTTAAGTCATGTCATAAAACATGTCACAGTAGATTGCCCACAAGGCGGGGATGATAAGATATTTTTGGGGCAAAACTGTGTTGTGTGGCCCCTTGAAAATAAACTCCCCCGCCCAACTGTCTCACGGAATTCGTGGTTAAAGGTTAAATGCTTGATTAAGGAGTATAAATTCGTGTTAAATTGGATAGAAAGAGAACAATAGAAAGTAAATTAAAGCCACTCATAATTGTTTTATTGAGCTAAATATCACAAAATCGACCAAGATAGACTCCTGTAGCCTAGGTTACTGATCCTTATTGACCAATAAGAATAGTAGACGATCCCTATTGGTGGAAATTCGACCCTAGGCCGGCGGAATTTCTTTTAGAAGGCCCCACGAGCCAATTCTACCATTTTTGGATATCTTAAAACGGCTGTGCACTGTAACAGCAAGCCAGTGTGTGTGAGAACTCCCAACACCTAGTCCTGCAATACTGCGAATTTGCTTGCCCGCCTTCTATCCTTACTGTCTTCTTC